ATAGAGTAGACGTCAAGAGTCCATTAGCAATTTCCATCGTAAGATTAGCTACATTAAAAATTCTTTATACCTTCTTCGTCAACATATACCGTTTAGGGCGTCACTTGACGAATTCTTGTTACACAATAATTTTAAAAACAAAAAAACAATATATTTTCATCTCTAAGCAGTATCATCTGGAAAAATAGGGCGAATAAATGTTATAGAAACTGATTAGACATTGTAAATGAATGAATAAAATAAAATAGCATACAGAAGTTCAATATCGAAGAGTTAATAACTTTGAAATAGTAAATTTCAAGAAATAAACCCAAATTCATTGTTGATAGCTTAGTGGTTGACATAATTACATTTCAATTATCAGATTACATGTATAGATTTTGAATCTTTGTTAGGTTAGTTAACAAAGTGGCTAGTATCACTGCTCATCACATTAAAAAATGAGACGATAAATTGAATACGTGTTTATTGGATAACAAAATAAATTAATCTTTTAACTATATTTGTCCTATTTAATGATAGATTCTGTATTTAAATTTTAACTTGTTCCTAGTAGTATTGTGATGTGAGCTACGTATAGCCACATAAGTAGTATATAACAATGGTCAGGAATAGAATGTATTTTAATAGAAGATCAAGAAGGAAAGAACGGAAACAGAAAGCAATCGGTATGAAAATGCATCAACAATGAAATCTAAGAGGATTGACTGATATTTTGAAAAGGAATAGTTAAGTTTGAAACGATTGATTGATATTTTTTAAATAAACTATTTACTGCATGGTTCTTAGATTTTAGTGAGATGTCTTGTAACTTTGTGCTCAAATACATTCGGTTGTCCTCACCTGTGTTCTCCTTCACTACAGTAGTGTTTGTATTATTATTTTTTTCTCCCATTGTTCTAATATTTTAGGGTAACAACTCAAACTACTGTATATCTTCACTAGGGTCTTATATTATCTATTATCTAACTTGGTTATATAATTTAAAACTAATTTCATTATTAACCATAATGTTTCTTCGCCAAAATCGCTCATACAAATCATATTCATTATTACCCAAGATACACACACATACATTCATATATATATATATATACATATATATATATATATATACATGATTCTTAGTAGTAATCGTTTTTTTTTTAAATTAACAGACCAAATATAACAATTTTTACTTAAATTATATTTATTTGTTTATGTGATACAAATCCATCACCTTATTTTATACGGAAAGAATATTTATATGTAAGTGCTTGTTGTAACTGTGTGTGCATGTAGATTGGGGGGTTGGGGAGAGATTGTGTAAATAAGCGTAGTAGCAAAACTGGAAAATTGAGAAACGATATATATATATATATATATATATATATATATATATATATATATATATATATATATATATATATATATATATATATATATAAAGTGATAATCCGAATGTAAACTTTAGATTATCACTTTATATATCGATTGACTGTATAATTTGCAGTATAATTGTCCAGTTTTTATATTACTATAGATTGACGATATATATAAATATATATATCAGTAAGATGTGATTTATAAACACAAGAATAGAAATTTAAACAAACACAAAAGATTCTAGAACAAACATCTTTATGATATTAATCATTAAAACTTAATTTTATAATAATTTTTCCCAATCTCTTTTATATTTATAACTGACTTTTAGATATTTGAAATTATAAAATATTGTGAATGAGTAATTTACATAGGTAAGCCTTAGTCAGGATGTGATAACTATCATTCTAAAGCGATTATGATCTTGTATTTCCATCACCTTACTAAAGTATTTACTCTGGTTATTACAAAATGCATATCAATTCACAGGTATCATTAAGTGGATACAAAATGAATATAACATTGACCACCATCGAAAACCTAAAAGCACTAGTTTAGCTTCAATGGACTCATGATCTCAACTATTGAAATATTGTTATTTACATAACAGATAAATGGACAAATAAGTAGACTGAAATATATATATATATATATACAATCAGAATTCCAAATCGAATTATATTCAATAGGATTTCCATATTACGTAACAGATAGCCAAGTAAGAGTCAAAGTTTAAACTGTATTGAATACAAAAGTAAAGTGTTAATGAATGTGGAAAAAAAAATAGAAAAGGATTAAAGGGTAAAATGTTAAACTGATGCTTAACATTTCACAGACCATAGTCAAGAAATTTATACGGTTCTACATATGAATAATTTCTTAAATGGATATCATATCTACCATTGACTTAATTCTAACTTTTTTACAAAATTACTTCTCTACCTTCAATCGAATAGTTTATCAATAAAAAGCAATATTTCATCGTATGAAACACTTCAAACAGATTAAATCCCCTTATGTACACCATGTTTATCAGCTGACATGTCTCTCCATTTAAATTTTACGTTACCCTGAGATAAACAACTTATTCTAATCAATTCCATTACTATACTGATATTATTGTTTTAAAACACTAGGAATAAATTGACAAATGATTTTACAAGAATCAATCAGTTCTTCTCTTACTCAAATTACAACAAACTATACAATTCAATGAAATTTTCATCTCATCTTTCATATTTTACAGTTAGTTGTAACTATGAGTACTAACTCCGCCTGCAGCCCATCTGTGGCTACATCCGGTCCTAAGCCCGCATAAAGGAGGAGGGTTGGACATGGGGTTAGTGACCCCATCCCGTAGAAAACTAACTCGCTAAAAGAACTCTAACCAGGAAAACATTATTCAAACTATTTACTGTTGGTGGCCTATGCTCCATTAGGAGTAATAGGTGTACGTAAGTAACCATGAGTACTACTATTATTATTCATGTTTTCATTATAAACCAATAAATGTTCGTAAATATTTTGATTTACAATAGAAATGATTACTGAAAATTGTCGATTGTATTGATTCAGCTAACGGAAAAATACAGACTAATGTTGTGACGATGCATACATACAATAGAAGATAACTATATACATATATATAATCTCTATTCATTTTGTTGATCATCTAATGATAGATTAACAGAAAAGTTTTGAATTAAGAAATGCCAAAATATTAGAAATGTCAGTAAAAAAATTTGATTTTTTTTCTGTAAAATAAACTCTTACAAGACAATAACAAATTGTACACGGAAGTATTGTGTTTACATATAGACTTTAAATGAAATGATTATATATTTATGTATCAATTAGAATTATAATCAGTTCCTTAAGAAAAACAAAATGTGATGGTGTTTTTAAAGTGAACGGTATCAGGTTCGAGTCCCGGGGTATACATTAACTCTAAGATATAAGTATATCCAACTGACGAGTTCTGAATTAGATAAGACGTATGTCCTGTATATCAATACTAGTCATCATCCATATCTGCTCAAACTTCAAGTTTGCCGATACCGATTTTTACCGTTTTAAACCATTGAGTTGAAAATTACATATTCCATATTTGTCAGTATAAAGTAATAATCAACTAATTTAGTTAGAAAATAGGAACGATCTAATACTAATCATTCTATGCGTTACAATACATTAAACTAATTTTGATTAATTACTGCGTTAAACAGATAATTTATTATAACAATGTCATCTATTCTAATGTATAAAACCTCGATAAGGAATTAAATTTTATCTCGTCTTCATTGGATTTATTGATAAAAAGCTTGTTCAATAAGGGCAAACAAGTTTACAAATTACATATATATGTATACACTAGTACTATACGATCCATAAGTAGGAGCGCTTCAACAAATTTCAACCAATTTTTTTATGAATATATTTATTTAATATTCACCATAAATGCTGGTCGGTGGATTATACTCCATTGAGAGTAACAGGCGCAAGTAGGTAAGTAGGTGTCATAAAACAAAACGACTGAGATAATAAATAACAGTTTATTACATATTTTGGAATTGTTATTTAGTTTCATTGTGAATTTTAAGAAAAAAACACCTTTTTCTATTTACGCCGTCATCTAATTGTTACATTGAGAGATATTAAGAAAAGTTACCAGTACTTGAGGTGAGACTATAATTGATGGACAAACTAATTAGGTATAAGATAACAGATCTCGGATTTTGGTGTGACATGCATTCATCCATCTGGTTAAACAGAGTTTTCGGATTATAGCTGATATCAGTTCGTGATGAAAACCCTAATTGCAATTTCTAACGTTACCCATCAACTGTAAATCGAAATTCGAATTCCTCACACAAGTTTATAATCCTCATTTGGTTCTAACTATCAAGTGGACACGCTCGAGGTTAGTCTAGCGTCACTCAAAGGTCGTTCATAAATTATAGTCTCATTGAACTTGCTACATGATAATATTTACTATTTTTTTATGTCAAACGGAAAAATTAATGAATGTTGTGATATCTTTTTATAGCTTTCAACTGTATAAATTCAACCAGATAGGCAAACCGATGATATATATTACCATGATTTATCTAGTCTATAGAAAAGAATTAATTACAATATTAGAATTCAGTGAACTTATCAATCTGTTGTAAATAGACTTGATTAACGGATTATTGTTCAACAAATAATTAACTTTTGAGGATTGATATACATTTCTTTGTATCAATGGCTTAGTACAACATGTTTTCATTTGAACATTAATATATTCTGAAATCGATTTATATCTTTCACATTAGGCAATATACCTGGGATGATATCGATATAAGTACAAATTTTTTTTTTAAATGTTGACCTCAGAAAACAAAACATTGGTCTAGGAGCTAAGCGTTCGCATGCTAGATCGATAAGTTCCGGGTTCGAATCTCGCGGGGCGGGATCGTGGATGCGCACTGCTGAGGAGTTTCACATTAGGACGAAACAGCCATCCAGTGCGTCCAGATTTTCCATGGTAGTCTAGCTTTAATTGACTCATGAATTCAACTATAAAACACAAATACTTTATTAAATTAAAATAATACATAACCAGTATTATATTTCTACATTAATAATTAACTTACTTTGTGGGCATTACGTCTAAAAAATGCTTTACATGATTCACAAGTTAATTGACCAAAATTATGATTTACAGCTCGATCACCGCAAACTTTACACTTTTTTTCATTAGAATGATTATTGCTATTATTATTACTATTAACATTATTAGTAACCAGAGTGTTATTACAATCAGTATGATTGTTCGATTTTAAATGTTGTTGGTGCAAATTCAAACCAGTCAATTTATAATCTTGATTTGTATAATATGAAGATGAAGGTGAAATGTTTGTTGTAGTTGTTGTTACTAATGATGATTTTGCTGTTGCTGGAGTTATTGTTAATGTTTCTGTGCATAAAACCATTGAAGATGACAATGATGATAATGATGAAAATGAAGAAGATGAACAAGAGGACGACGATGAAGATAATGATGATGATGTAGCCGGTGAATAATTTGGTTGAAATATTGTAGGATAAATTTGTAATGGAATTATATTTGTATCATAATGATGTTGATTATTATTGGCAGCAGTAACAGTAGTCTCATTATTATTATTGTTATTATTACAGTAGATATTATCAATTAAATCATTTGATATCACAGTATTCCCAGATAAATGTTCAGATGTTTCAAAATGATTTGACTGTTCAACTAATGGTCGCATCATGATCACATCATTATCATTGTCTTGAACATGAATATTTTTACCATCAGTCATGGTGGTTGACACAGTTTCGATTGGAATAGGTATAACATTATCCATTTCTGTATTATTTACTTTAATATTTGATAATTCATTACAATTTTTATTTATGTTCTCATTATTCTCATTATTAATTATTATTGGATAATTATTATTATTATGATTATGTGTTGTAATTATTCCATCTGATGTATAATGTAAATGTTCTTGTAATTGTATTTGTGAATGTTCTTGATTTAACCATATCACTGATTGATATGATTCAGGTATATGCTGTTGAATGCATTTTGAATTTGAATATTGTACATTTGATAAAGTATTTACTGTGGTATTTGATAGAAAATAATTCGATTCTGAAAATATTGATGAATATAATTCATTTTTTTGTTGTTGTGTTAATATATAATCATCTTGAGGAATTGTATTAATTGAAGTATCATTAAGGATTACATTATCATTATTAGAATTGTGCAATTGATCTGTTGATTGATCCATGCCATAATGTTGATGTTCATGATGATGATGATGATGATGATGAGATGGATGAGAATATGAATGAAGTGGATTGGGAATTATTAAATTTGATTGTTCAAATGCATAGAAAGGATTATGACCAGGTAATTGTTGTGAAATATCATTGAATTGATTAGATAACTAATAATGAGAATAAGAAAAATATACAAAGTTCTTTTTTAAATATATTTTTGTTACCCAACAATGAAAATAGTTACGTTTGAAAAATATTAAGCTTTTAATTATTTACTAACTACTTATATGAATGAATGTATTTAATTAAGATTTTAGCATATATTGAGAATAAATTTTGTCCTAACGAAAAACTGTAGTCAAGCTGTAGAACCATTGTTTACTTCTCCGCTATCAAATCAGAATATTAAGAAATAATTAAGAGTATGCACTAGGTGAGATAGCACATGGTTACTATTTTCTGTGGTTCACACCATAGATTGATCAGAAGTTAAACAACTTATGTATAATAGGAAGCACTGAATAACTGCTTCATCTCAATATAGGACTCTTCAACAATACAACTGCATGAACCATCAAATATTGAACCCAGAACCGTCGATCTCACCCGTGAACGCCTAACCTTCAAACCATTGATCCAGAACCAATTGGTCTACATGTTCAACTTCAGTCAACTCTCATTTGGTTGGTAATTGCTACAAATTTTACTTGGCTAGACTCCATTAGTCATGTCTTCCCCACATGTACTAAACAACTATTCAATAGCTCTTAGTTTTCCATAATTATTCAGTTAAAATCAATCTGTAATGTTAACTGCAAGATTTAAAAATCTCCATAAATCCTTCATGAGAAAAAAATTTTTTGTTTCCGACACTTTTTAGCAAGTTATACCGTACAATACTTACTATTTATACTTCAATTATCTACTAAAATAGTAACTTTTGGAAAGAAAAAACAAAGAAGCATTAAATATTGTCGTTAATCATTATTTTTTAATGATACAACATCCTTCTATTTTATTGTAAATTATTGGGGTTTTTTTTAGGGCGAGACTATAGTTTATAGATGAACCAATCAGGTGTAAGATAACAGATCTCAGATTTTGGTGTGACATGCATTCATCCATCTGGTTAAACAGAGTTTTTGGATTATAGCTGATATCAATTCATGATGAAAACCCTAATTGCAATTTCTAATCATAACCATCAACTGTAAATCATAATTTGAATTCCTCATACAAGTTTATAATGCTCATTTGGTTCTAGTAAGTAGGTAGATACTCTCAAGGTTATTTTAGCTTTGCTCAAAAGGTCATCCATAAATTATAGTCTCATTTTGTTGAATAAATAAATTGACTAAAAATAGGAGTATAAATAAATGAAAATCGATAAGAAGCTTTCTTCTCTGAATGAGTTCTATTTCTTACCACATTTATTATCTTTACAAAGATGATGTTTTAGTTTTCTTATCGCATGTTGTTACCTGTAGTTAGTAAACATTTATCAGTCTGAATATGATATGATGATATCGTCATAACATATTACTATAATTAGTTGTAAATTAATCAACTCAATCTTCTTGTAAAAAATTAAATAGCTTTCATAATTTTTTGGTATGTGAAATGTCTAAATAGTAATAATAGTTCCTTAATGAATACTTTATACACAGTTTTGTGTAATATCAATCTATCATTCTGTCACAGAGACTGTCTAACATATATTCCTTAATCAGAATGTGGTAACTGTCGTTCTAAAACGATTATGGCCTTGTGTTTCCATCACCTTCCTAAAGTATTTACACTGGTTAGTAAAGACTCTTCCACGTTTCCATTTTATGCTTCTCAGTTTATATATACAGAACACTGACAAAAAATTCATTGTCAATGATGACGTCATTTAAGAGTCTTGTTCCAGTAACTGTTTATATACCGTAATAGTTATTCGTTTTATTATTATATTAATTATCATTATTAAGTAGCATCAAAAGAACGTTAGTATAGAAAGATTATGGTATAATTAAAACGTTATAAACTGTTTAAAATGTTAGATATAAAACTTTATTTAAAACAGTCTAAAACAGCCAGCATTATTTTAAATATAATACTTTCTTTAGAACTTTCTAATGACTTAACAAACAAATCACTAATGATCAATAATGTTTCTAAAATAGTAATTATTACTAACATGAAGTATAGTTTTTGTTATATGGACGTTTAAACGTTGTGTTTAAGGCTATTCAAATGTAAATTGGTGAATAGAGATTGAACCACTTCATTATGTCTTAACTTCATTTGAAAACAGTTTGATGAAAGTATCATTTGAATTATTATGGTTATAAGATGAGATTTATCCCATAATTAATACTAACTTACAATTTTTTTTAAAAAAAATTACTGTAATTTATGAAGATAAATTAAATATTTCGATAATTTTTTATCATGACGCTTTTGCTAATGATGTCGTTCAGATGAATGATGAAAGCTCCACGACTAAACCATCTAGCTTACAGAACAAAACTCCTTCAAAATCATCCACCTGAGCTACAAATCTTCTCCATCATCTCAAAGAAACAGTCAAAATAATTTCGTACATGTCTAAACCTTCTCAACCGTGTGTGCACACGATTTAGCCAAAAATTTAACCCAGAGATCTATAGTCTTTCTGGTAAGTATAGTTTTCTGTCACAAAACTTTTCTTTAAATTATCAACCTCATAATGTTTTAGTATTTACTTTAATTCCCTACTCAAACTCTTAGATTCATATTGTTTCTGTATTGACAAATTCCACATAACACAAAACCTAAGTCCAGAATCTCCTGACAACTACCTCCAACCCCCATATTGTATTGAAATTGTCATTATTCAAAAAAAATAAATACTTTATAAATATTTCCGAATAACTATCTAGCTATTACGTGTACACATTTTGGAAATATATTTTTCTGTTTATCATACATAATCATTTCTCATGTAATTGCATACCGTTTCTATGATAATGTCATCACTATTTGCATTAAGATTTATTAGTATCAAATTAATTCACCGGACCTTTAAAATAACCAGTATGTACATACACTTAACTTTAAGAATCATTCCGTTCAAACAAATCGAAGATTGATAATTTAATTGCATTATTTATACCATTAGAAATTACATAGCCAAAATGTTTGACTAAATTACTGAATAATTCAATTCGGTTATATTAAAAGAACTTTAATAAAAATCTAAATGGATAAATTCATAGGAGTTGGACACTGAGTTAATAGTAAACATTAAAAAAATTCATTATTTTATTCAGAACATGAGCTGACCAATAGGTATACACCAATATGAACCTGAAATCGACGACCTGCTTGATCATTTAGGCTACCTGTTTCTGCCATCTTTCAATACAAATGTCAAGACACTTCTACTGGATGGGGCGGAAACCTGGAGAACTACGAAAGCCATCATCCAGAAGATACAGGTGTTTATTAACAGCTGCCTACGCAAAATACTTCGGATCTGTTGGCTGGACAATGTTAGCAACAACCTACTATAAAAGCAAACAAACCAGATCTCAGTGGAGGACGAAATGAGGATGAAACGCTGGAAGTGGATAGGACACACATTGAGGAAACCACCCAACTGCATCACAAGGCAAGTCCTAACATATAATCACCAAGGTCAAAGGAGAAGAGGAAGACCAAAGGACACATTACGTCGAGAAATGGAGATAGACATGAGAAAAATGAACAAGAATTGGATGGAACTAGAAAAGAAGTCCCAGAACGGATTGGCTTAGAGAATGGTGGTTGGCGGCCTATGCTTGATTTAGAGTAGCAGGCGTAAGTAAGTAAGTAGGTTTCTGCCATCTAGATATTCCAACAAGTTATCTGTTTTTGTTTGTTTTAACAGATCATTATGTTTATTAATCGCACAACCTCTTATGGTGGGTTTATGAAAAGTTTACAACCTTCCGCTGGAGAAGTTGTAGAAACGCTCAATCAGAGACATCGTGGTTGTTCGCAATATGCAACAAAATGAATGTAGATTATTCAGATGTCAATTTCTAGACTGCTAATTTCTAGCTGGTGACCACTCAATATTTATCGTCAGAATAAACCAAGAAGTAAGAAACGGAAACTGGTTGAAATACTTTGCACTGAGAATTCTATATTGTACCAAAGATATAGTATTGAATAAAGCTAATAATAATAGTAAATGACTAGTCAGTTATATTATGGGACTTTTTTGTAGTGCACCTCCACGACCTCGTCAGTGAGAGAAACTAATAGCTTTAGTTTCACTCATGAACACAACCCATAGATTAGTAATCCCGAGTTCGATAGTATACAAATCTAGCTTCAATTATTCCGCCGTATTTTGTAACTATCTTTCATTATGTTCAATGATTATCCTCCTCACAACTGACACGGTTGAACTATAGTTATCTAATTTAGATCAGTTTTGTGAAATTAATAAGAACCAACAATGTACACAACTTTTATACTGATTGATTGTCAACTTTGAGAAATCTTAAGCCAAACTGCCCAATAAAATGTTACAGTGATTCTTTTTATTACAATCACAGATATTTTAATAAATATTTCTTTCCTTTTTTAATAAAGCTAGTAGAGTTACATTGTGTTGATGTTTCTTTTTTCTTCCTGAGGTACAAAGACATAACTCAAATATGTATTCTTCAACTGTTCATTCATTTTTTTTTAATCTTAAAATGTTATTTTTCTAGATGTGGTTCATAGAGTGCATTATATTAATCTAAATCAATAGATGTCTTCTCAGTTAACAAGCTCGAAAGATGAAATGATAATATCGACATGAATAAGTAAACAGATAAACACTATCATGGTAATTGATCAAACGTTTTTTTCTAAAAAAAAAAAATAAAAAAATTAATTCAATGAACCATATTGGTACATAATAGTAATGGTATTTAATAATTGTTGCCATTTTCCATTTCTCTCATTCTCTTCACTTCCCTCTCCCTATTTAATCTTTATAACAAACATACAAAAAGTATGAGTTCACATCTAATTATATTTTTTTTTATTCCTTTAAGTTTACGTATGCACACGCACTTCTACTCATATTTTACTAATACAAATAATTTTTTGATCTTAGTTACTCATTGTTATCAGAAACATTTTTTTCTTTAATCGATATCAC